AAGTAAGGCGTGATGAGGCGCTATCGCAAGTATACGGGGGCATCCTCTAGGACTAAGCCTAGGAAGGGGCAGGAGCTCGCGGAAAATGAAAATGGCTCACGCACCTTGGAGTCTCTCCTCCCCCGCCTAAGGCGTCCCGTTTTTAACAAAAAAGACATGTTTTACGCGGTTTTCAATGCATTGTCGTCAGAATGCCCCGTATATTGCGATAGCGCCGGTACTTTTGGGCACTGCCCCGTATAAAGCTTCTCAGAACAGAACGTTCGAAGGTGTTCTGCTTTCTTCTGATCGCAAAATAAAAAGAAAAATCAAATAAAGAAGGAAAATTTCAGATAAAAGTCTTTTCAATGAGTAAAAACCTCTCCTTTCCCTTCCCCACTTAGAAACTCTTCTGGTCAGAGTAGCATACGCACTGAAAACTCTAACGTAAACATGTAGTTCACTTGAATCGTAAACACGTAGTTCAATTTGAAAAGATGTTTGAAGAAAATCGATTATCGATTTGTGGTTTCAGCTACCTTTGCCGTACCGATCCTCGAGATGTGGCTCGTGTCGAATCAAAGACCTGGATGGTCACCAAGGATAAGTACGACTCTGTAAGTCTGCCATTTTCCCTAAAATTATCTTTCAAAAAAAATGAAAATCCAACTGAACAAGTACCGTCAAGCTTCAATTGATCAAGTACCGTAACTTACCACTGTTACTTGCTACTCTAAGCATGAATTTCCTAGGTTTGTCACACTCCCGAAGGTACTCGACCGATCATGGGACAATGGATGAGCGAAGAGCAATTCGGCAAAGAACTCGACGCCAGATTCCCCGGATGCATGGCTGGTAAGGGCTATTTCAAGAATTGCGTAGAAATTGAACGCTGAAATTCTTCCCGATTAGAGCACCCTTTAAAAAAGTAGGCAGCAGAAAAGAAAGCAAAACTTGGGAAGTACAATTCTTGTGGTTCAACTAATTAATACATGGCCGAAAAAATAAGGTTCACAAAGATAACAAAAGTGTTCAGCATTATAAGGCTCTTCCTGCAAAATTTCACGGCGAACGGCGAGCCCTCATCCAAAAATAAGTGCATACTGTAGCGATACCATAAATTTTGATCGAAATTGCGCTTCTTTTGAGTGTTTTCTTACAGTACAGTACAGTTAGAAATACAGTCCAGTTACAAGTGGTATAACTGGGGCTCTTAGGAGTTTATTCAGGTTAGCCTACGAAAGTGACCCAACAGTGGTTAAGTCAATTGTCCACCTTGATCTCAAAGAGGGCGCTCATGTCCTCAGGTGGCGGGGGGGGATAGGAATATTTGAAAAAGGCATTTTAAAAACCTCTGGTAGTGTGAAACTAAGACTAAAGCCAGGAGAGGGGAGAAACTCTAGGAAGAACAAAGGTTGCTCACATCCTCAACCGAATTCCCTTCCCTCCTTTAGATCACAATACCACTTTGTGGTAAGTTGCTGATCACGTTCAATGCCCCGCTATTAGATATGACCACCTTAAAGAGTGAAGGAATCATAATGTTTTCCCGAACCTGCGATTTAGAGTAACTTTACATGTTCTCTATTTCAGAGGGGCGGAAGTGGTGTAGTGACAAGTGGCGCGCTCACCACGCGAGCGGTCCGGGATCAAATCCTGGGTCGTGAGTCGCCCGGGCCAACCAAGCCTTCCATCCCTCCGGGGTCGGTTAATTGGTACCAGACTTGTCTGGGAGGATAAAAACACTGACTTGAACATCGGCTGGCCCCCGCAAGTCATTGTATAGGCCACATCGCATTCAAACGCCACTACGAATGTACAAATGGAAGTAGAATGCGTGCCGCATCCCAAAAAGGGATTGATCAACGGCAAATGCTTTATCCTTTATCCTTTATTCAGGAGTCAAGGTACGTTGTACCGTTCTCGATGGGTCCAATCGAGTGCGACATTGTCGAAGAGCCGCGAATCGAAGACTCACCGAACTCAAGGTTTACAGATTCCGTTCGCTATGCTTCCTTTTTTTATCATCAAACAGTTAGTAGTTACCTAGAGGCTTTATGCCCCGGAGAACCTTAACAGCCCTGTTCACACCACAAATGTGCTCGAATTTCTTTTTAAAAAAAACGCGACAACAGTTTCGCCGATGTAACTCGTCGATGTCTCAAGAAGAGCTCAACCAGGGTTGACATTGTTTACCAAGTGTGCACTTTGTCAGCAAAAGTTCTGTGCTGTGCACTTTTCTTGTTTTCGTCCTCATTCCAATAACTTGTACGTTATTCAACGCAGCCGGAGCAATCCAGGAGCGGAGACTTAGGGTTTGTGATGGGAAGGGTCTGAATCCGCAGAGGGAAAACGCGTTGTGCGTGGAAATTCAAATGAAGGGACAGGACAGCGGGATCAGCCAACGTCTAGGATTCCTAGAGAGTCGAATTTGGCTCTACGTGGAAGCAGGTTGAATTTTACGATGGCCTGCACGTCAGGAAAGGAGGTCTTTGCGTATAATTAGGGCATTTTTGGTAGATTTGTAAGAAATTTGGACGATTTATGAGAGTCTTGTACTTATTTTAAGGACGTTCAAGGCTTCCGGGAGGAGCAGGGGCAGCTATCGAATTAGAGGGATCGTCAACAACTAGTATGGAGTCTCTCGAAGTCGGGATCCCTCTCCACCCGCCCCCACCTCTGCGAAATAGAATGTACAAGAGGCCAAGTAGTCCGGTGGTGTCACTGACGACGATTGGAGAAAGGAAGGGTGACGTGAAACGGTAGGGGTGCCGCCAAAGATTTCTCGGTCCAGTAGGACACAAAGAACGATCAAAGACAAACAGCCAGCAAATTCGGCTCCTACTGCTTTCCAATGAAAGGAACCGTACAATTGGAGGGGAATAATGGAGACATTGTTGCTATCCAGAAGCTTACCTTCAAGCTCTTTCTACACCGTGAAACTTTTATCCGAATGATTGAATGAGTAAAAGGAAATTCAGAATTAAGGCACTATTTCCATCAAACCAGTACACATTGTGGAACAGGTTCCATTAGGGCCTTTTTGACAGAGTCAATATAATCCAATTCTGCAATATAAGGTCTTTTCCGGGAATCGATTCGGAAAAGAGTTGGCAACACGGCTAATCGGTTCACAGTCACTCAGACCGCAATTCCTCACTTCTTTGTGCACGGACTTCTTGTTGCTCTGGCAACAGAAGGGGATGACTGAGTCGCAGAATGCATTGGACATGAACTCTTGTTGACACAGACAGACACATTTGCTCGGCTCCAAGAGAAACTGGTGCTTCCAGGGAGCAGAATTGATTGAGAGCGAGTCTTTTTCTGTATTCTTCTTGAAAAGGCTCATTCGATAAGGAGGTACCGGTTGAAATTGGGATGAGCATCTGCGAAAAAATTCCCCTAATACGGCCCCGGAGGGCAAACTTCCACAAAATTATCGAAGTCACGTGAATTTCTCTGATGTTCCCTGGAAATCTTTGAATCCCCGAATGCGCAGCAGTCCCAATTTCGCTTTGGAAAACCAGTGTCGATTCTCTCAATGATCATCTATCCCTCAGATAGCCTAATACGAACTCTTAACCATAAATTCGCAATGAGTAACTTGAAGGTTACCTCATAAAAGTGGTTGTGGCTACTCAAATGGGGGGGGGGCTCAGGACATGAAACCGCAGGCACAGTAGCACCAGTCCGAGCTTTTCCTACGAAAAAAGGGCTCGGAATAGAAACCCCAGAAGTCCACCGAAACGCATCCAATGAAATGTGCTGTTTTGTTGCCATTCTTCTGTAGACTTCTGTCAGTACACACGCCGGTGAAAGCAATCGCTCGCATGGATTTGTTGGCTATGAAAAACATTCACGATCGATGGCTACTCAGAAAGGCCTTCCCTTTAGTGGAGCTCCCGAAGAAAACACTAGAAAGAAGAAATGAACACTAGAAGGGTAAAGGGGTACCGTTACGTACCGAGAATTAAACTTCCTTAGGTAACATCAACTCGGAGTACTGTCGGGTAAGGGTAAACTTCGGTTTTGCAACGAACGAAAGTTCCTAAGAAGAGATGCTGCACT